TCCATCTCTCTCTCTCTCTCTCTCTCTCTCTCTCTCTCTCTCTCCCCTCCCCCCTCTCTCTCTCTCCCACATGTAGAACTCACATCATGTTTCTTGAGCAGCATGAGAGCGGCGTTGAGGTCCTTCCCTACGTTGGCCGACTTAGCCCCCTCTAACTTCTCGGCCACCCATCTCTCCTCCTGCTCCGTGTCCGACAGGAACTGGTAGTACCGTTTGGCCGTGTCCAGATTGGTACGCCGATTGTTGCTCAGGTCCTGAATTCTGGGAACATGCAAAGACATTTGGAATGTTTCATCTCTCTCTCTCTCTCTCTCTCTCTCTCTCTCTCTCTCTCTCTCTCTCTCTCTCTCCCTTCTTAATTTGTTCACTCCCTCCCTCACCCATTCACCCACCACACCACCCACAGTCTCAACGAGTCAATGACTCAATAAATCAGCTACTTCTGTACTGGCATCTGTGGTATAGCGGTCAGTTTTAGTTTTAGTAGAGGTTTTACGGCGCTCTCAACTGCATAAGGTCATATGAGCGCCAAGAGGAGGATGTCAACAGAGAAGTCCTTACAGGGAATCAGACTTACTCTGCTCACCTCTCTAGCTTCAACAGCACAAAGTCAGCTTCGACTATCAAGGCACCCCGGAAATAGCGGGTCACAAGAGTGTGACAAACAACATACGAAAGAAGTAGAGGAAAAATGATGATAGTAAGGATTAGGAAAGAAAAAGCAGCAGTTCCCTGTTGCAGTTCAGGCACAGTTATGAGCATTACATTGATGAATCAGCCCATTTACAATTACAATTCTACCTTGCATAAGAACTCGAGATGTTAATGTCTCCCCCCCTCCCTTTTGGGAATGGCCTAAAGACACTTCAGTCAGTAGCACCGCCCTGAAGGGTGGGACATGAGTTTAATTCCCACATAGGAGAGGTTTTGTTTCTCGAGAAGTTCCCTCTGCTGGGATGCTGCAACCCTCTCCACCCACGTTGGCCCCGACACACAGGATCAAAGCCTACCACCTCAAGGATCTAAATTGTGTTGATGGGGACATAAAATTTGTTCAGCTTTACATCATAGTGGAAACTACTTTTGAACCCTCTCTGTACGTCATGTTTTACTATCGTATCCATACGACGTGGGGAACTCTGTGCCACCACTTTCCAAAGACGAAATTTAGTCGTAAATCCGATCAGGACGCTTTGCATAGCAGTCTGTCAAAATGATTTTTTTGAAAAATACTGAAAGTTTCAAAGAGATCTTCGTACTAAAAGTATTCTCAAATGTGACGAATACAACCCCGGGGGTGCAAAATGACCCCCGGAGGTACAAAATGACTCTGGGGGGTACAAAATGATTCCAGGGGGTACAAAATGACCCCAGGGTGTATGGATAGGGTGAAAAAATACCTCTGTAGATCTTTGTTGAGAGCCTCCAGTTTCTTGTCCAGATGGTCGCCCTCCGCCGGGCCTCCCCCGCCGAGCTGTGTCGAGCGGCGGTTCAGTTTCTTTACACGGCGCGTCAGGGCTTGGAGTTGTGCCTCCTGCAACGCGTGTTGTTGGAGGAGGTCGTCTGTCGCCTGGAGGTGCTTGCCACAGTCCGTGACCTTCACCTTGGTCTGAGGGAGGGAGGGAGGGAGGGA